CTCCTGTAATATGTGATTATATGTTATTATCATACATATAGAGATACAGGTATAAATTGAATCAGTGTACCTGCAAGGAATGCCTTTGTCTTCGTACTGTTTAAGAGCAGCATGATAAAGCTTTTGCTTCTCAAAGTGTGGAAATAGTTCTGAAAATTCTTCGAATTCACGCAAATCCGCAACCTGAAATAATTTAATAAGAAGCTAATCTATCGTTTTTCTTCATATCAAGAGAATTGTCAGAAACAGATCATAATTATGAAAATAAATACATGACATAGATATTACTAGATATAAAATAATTGATCATTTTTCGAGAGTTATTGCATGTCTTCGAATTACATTAACGTCCCACAGCCACTCAACACATCCGTTTAATCTGTCGGGGAATACGGACAGATTATATTTATCTGTCTCGTGCATATAACTCACCCCGTCACGTGCAGATTCGAATGATTCGGGCGACGATGCGGCGTCAGCTTTATCCCTGAAACCAAATAGCCGTGTACCAAAGTTTGAAGGTTTATCGAGGCTCTCCTCGCTGTCGTTGCGGAATAAAACGGAGTGCTGCAGAAAAAAGAAGATAAAGTAAGTAGACAAAGGTCAGAAGTTGGATGCGTCGGCGATATAGATAGATAGATAGATAAGTTTCGCGATAATAAACGCCCAATTCTCGATGTATTGCGTTTCGAAAACTCAGATTGCTTTCGGAGAAAGTCATTCACTTCCTATGCCATTAACGTTCCGCAACAATTCCCGGCGGCGTCAGGTCAAGTGACTCGTTGCGCTAATTACCCTCGGGGCGGTCGTCATTTAAATTGGATTAATTTCCCGCATTTTTTTACCGGACCGGTAGAAGGGCAATTGATGATGAATGCAACGGAATGGAATGATCGTCCGTTCCGTAATTCATCTGACCGCGAAAGACGGGCGGTGGTCTCTCCAGATTGAAAATCGGAAAATCTCGTGGTCACGCTGAGTCAGCGGATTAATTTTGCGAATTGATGGATAGAAGAAAGAGATACCATACTTGATCGAGGAAAAGCAATTCCGCGTGGCTTTGGATCTGGTAGCCCATGTCGAGTAGCTCTTGCACATCATGGGTGAACGCCGCGTCGGCTTTCGACGGCAAAGCTAGGGTATCGTTGCCAAGAGTTGAGCTGAACGCGGTGAGCGCGTCTTCCCAGCAATAAAGGGCCTTCTCCAATGCTTCAAGTCCTGTTAACGAGAACGGCATCAGTTTATCTAGGCGGGAAAAAAATTGAATTCAGTTATATCAGAAGAAAAATAAATCATATCTCATAATTAAAATAATTAAAATAATCTGAGAACTCTTCAAGAGGAAATGTAAGCAGATTAACAGCACAATGGGAAAATAGATAACATATGATAATAAGAATTAATGGTGTTGTTATTGATAGCGAAGCGTAAAAGTCCACTCATTTAATCGTTCATGAAAAGAACGATTTTGTTGAAGCAAATAAAAATTTAATTAGATATAGATCTGAAAATAATTTTACTGGACGGATTTAAAATCATTGTAGGAATCTCAAGCATGATGAGTAATGCTGCAAAAGATTCTGACATTTTAGCAACCAGTTTGAGCAACCAGTCTTACATAAGGCTTGTTCTTTTTAGTTGAACTTTTGCACCAGTTCATCTTTCTTCTTTTTCTCTTCAGGAGGAACTGGTGCAAAAGTTCAACTAAAAAGAACAGGCCTATTATGTTGATATTCCGACAAAATTATTTCTCGATCTGTATCTAATTTTTAAATAATTTAGCAAAGTCGTCCTTTTCGTGTGATAAATGTAATTTCATATTACTTTATGATGTGTCTACAAAAATATTATATATTAAGGTGAAATAAGATAAAAAAATTATTAAAATATTGAGATTATTTTAATACATCTTTTCTGAGGAATTCGAGCCCAGTTTCCAGCCAGCCAGAAGAATATATACCTTTCCCATCGTTTCTCGCGCAGGCTTTACGCTTTTTTCTAGAAAATTAATGAATTCGAAATTAATATCGATCTGTACGCGCGAATGATGAATAAAAAGTGAAAGAAAGAGAGAGTCGAGGATGATCGCTACACTTGAGGACTTCAGGGATTCGAATTCCAAGTCGATGACGCCACTCTCCCTTTAGTCAATCTTTCGTAAGTCGTCGGAGAACGTTCACCAATTTGCCACAACGGAAGTCCGACAACACGCCGCGTTAATTTGAAGGGCCGTCCCTCTCCCTCTCCCGGTTAATGTCCTAAAAGCTGATCCGTCATCATTTTCAATCTGTGCCGTTTACCGTCACTGATAATTAAGTATACAATACCAACCGATGAAACTGGAACAGTGTGAGATCGATATCGTGATGATCTCGCGTGACAATTGACTCTTCGGAACTCATCGTTTAAATGGTTGCCAATCAGTGGCGTAACGAATTTTACCGAGAATACTTGATAAACTTATCGAGATATAAAATCGTTTATTCGATATAAAAGCGTCGAGTATTGTGAGATTACGAGACAACAACACAATAAATCAATCACGACGGATATTCTATTCCTCTTGAGTCATTTCCGATTTTTCAAAGAGAGTCAAGTCTGTAGGTCGAATGATCGGAACTTTATCTCCATGGAATAGATTTTGCTGAATTGTCTACAAATTTAGTTACAAGTCTAAAAATAATTTTGTTCGGAAATTCAAACATGATAATTGCCCAATCAATATCGCAAAAAATTTTGGTATTCTATTCTATATTACTATAAATTTTTTTCTCAGTCTTGAATTAATCGCCATTGAATTAATTGTTAAATTAATCAGAGTTTGCTTGAAGTTGCTTAGATTGATTTTGGCTTGTTGATGAATTCGGGGTAGTCGAAATTCGCGATGAACGGAATGAGTTTTAATAGGCGTGACACGGTTTTCAGAAACGTATAAAATGTCGATCGTTCGGCAGAAACAGGCAGGAGAAGGCTTTCCGGTCGCACAACGTTAATTTTCGTCGATAGCTTTAATTTTGGAGATGGGAGGGTGTACATCTGTCCCTCCCGCGGGAGAATGCACAACACACGAGACGTGTCCCGGAACGCCCCGGTTTGTGGCTCGGCGGACGAACATAAAGATTGCATTCCTGAAATTAAGTGAGGAAACGGAGAAGATCAAAACACGGCAATGCGTATTCCGTATTGCGCCACTTTACTGTAATAATCTCATGCTGAGTGTTCCTCTTGAAATGAACGATCGTCTATCCTTCACAACGATTTTTGTTGAAGTATCTAAAAATTTAGCCAGATCTGGAAAAAATTTTGTTGAATTCTTATAATTGTTAGACGTAAGACTCTCAAGCGTAATAATAAACTAAATAAGCAATACTGCAAAAAGTTTTGACGTTTTAGTAACCAGTTTGAGTGTACTACATAATTACTTTAATGACTAATAAAATTATTTTCACAGATGTGTATTTAGTTAAACCTTTAGATACTTTAATATACTTTTCTGCATTCTTGCCATATTAAAAAATTTGAAATCAAAATCAAAAGAAAAAAACGTATTTTTTTATATACTTTTTTTTTTATATGGTATTTTTGTATCTTTATATCTCGTACAGCGTATCGAGTATTCCTCTTAAAACAGACAATCGTTTTCGCAGATCGCATAGGTTTATTTATTACATGTCATTACTTAAAAATTCCAAATGAATGTTTAACAAAAAAAGATTCTGTCATTTTTCTTTGTGTCTTAAAAATGAATGCTATGCGAAATGCACATGTTTTCTTTCTTCTCTTACATCTATAATTACATTCTTTCTTCCTACATCCCTGTAGGATTCATCTTCATTCCAGGTCAGACTATAATTCAAAAGAATAATATTTTCGAAGCGGCGTACGCGTGTTGCGATTGCGGCAGATTTTAATCTTTTCCAGAGAGAATTCCGTCATATCAGGGAAGTCCCGCCGGAGGGAAGTTTTCTCCCGAAAGGGTTAAACCTGCTGCGATCTCGCACTGGGTGCTTGATCATTACGCAATCCCCAGGACGATCCCGAAGGGTCATAAGACACGGAGGGATGTCCCTCGGAGAAACGCGGCAGTGCGACGCCGTTGCATACGTCCGGCGTCAATAATATACCCCCGGAGTGACGTAATCGCCGGGCCGACCGGTCATTGGAGGATGCGTCATCCAATGGTGAAGGGTCGATACGATCCGCGCGCGCGCGCTCCCGTCACTTTGAAGCTCGCGCACTTTGCGCCGAATAAAACAATTTATTTTATTTAAATTTACTATCTGCATCTCGTAAATCACCCCTCGTGACATTTCGACTTAAATAATTGCTTTTTTAATGCAAGGAATATAATATAAAATATACGATATATACTGAAAGTTTCTCTCTATGAACTCTTGAGAGATAAAATGCGCTCATTGGGAAAAAACACGCTGATGTTAAAGCGCGCGCACATTGCGCAGGGGTGGCTATACGGAATCCTCGAAGGGCCAATCATCGGAATTAAACATTACGAGTTCGTACGCCCTCACGAGCTGGATGTGGCACTCTATCTTTCAGTATCGAAATCAAACCGCAATATGCGTATATGACGTGTGTGTGTGTGTTGTGTGTGTGTGTGTGTGTATGTGTGTGTGTGAACTTAATGAATTAAACAAACGTTTATAATTCGTGATGATATGCGCAAACACGATTGTAAATACGCAAATAAGAACATTGTTGCATAATTGTGGATATATTTTTCATCTTTTCAATAATACGTGATAAAAAGCTCCGAGTTCGTTTAATTTCCCAAGGAAAATGGCCATCTTGTGGGTTTCGTCCTTCCAGATTCGAATAAGAGGTCGTCGCAGTTTTTGATCCTGCGGGACCAATGGGAGCGCGAGGAGGACGGAGGCTCGCGCGCTCACCAGCCGCGCGACAAGGACGAACGAGACGCGAAGTTAGGAGGGGAACGCGTTCGGCATTTCGCGCGCTGGCGTCAGTTACTCGGCTACGTTCAGCACTGTTGAGCAGCACGTCACTCGTTCATCGCCGATCGCGCAGCGCGCTTCATCGTAGCGTTATTCTCGCACGTATACACGGGCCGTTGACACGCGGAAGCCTTCGTTGATTGAGAGAAACAGAGGATCATCCCCGTGCTCGTAGGATGATTATTGTCGTGAGATTATAAACCGCGACAACGAGAAAGAGATTTTTCACTTCAGTGTCCCTGACGATTTTTACGTACGCGCGTTATTTGGATTAAAGTAGATTATCGACGAACGCGCACGCACGCAGACAGAATCATGGTGAGTATAGAAGAATCCTAAACGAAGATTTGAACGTTTCTTCGCAAGAAAACTACTGCGAGTGTCTCGCTTTTCTCTAGTTGTTGTAGGGGAAATTCTAACGATAGGAGAAAATTCTTTCTGTCTCCCCACGGCCAGGATAATCTATTTGACATATATATAATTTCGTACAACGTAGTTACAATGAACGCCATTTAATTTAACAGAATTCAGTATTTCGTAGTTTCTTGGCGAAAAAGATGTCTTTTCCTTTCTCTCTACTGTGTGACGATAATTCCTTTCTACCTGAAATCATTCTTCCTTTTTTTGTAGAGTCGTAAACACTGCAGTGGTTTTTCTTTTGAAATTACTTTAGGACAGACCCTTGCCAAGATATGTACGAATCTTTTTAAGTTTTCGATTTTCAATCCGCGTCGACGAGGGGAGATTTCGAAAAAATCGGTATTTGATAAATTCGCTGGTAGACGTTACGCAGCGATGGCTTTATTTCAGGTTGATGCACTCAAGAGTGATGTAGAGAGAGGCGATAAGATTGTAATAAGGAACCAAATTATTTCTCAGCATTTCGCAAGGATGAAACATTCCTTTGACTCTCGATAAGACTATTCGGGATAGATCAATAGAATCGATTGCGAGCCGCACTAACCCCTTAGGAGAAGAAAATGGGTGGGATCGCATTGTTTCCCTTGCCCCTCCTCTCCTTCTCGTGAGGGGAAAACGCATCTATCGTGAGAGAGATCGAGGGATTCGCGAACAATATGACCAGCCGCGGGCAACACCTGGCCGTATCTTGTTTATTGCGCAACAATTCACAATAAACAAAAATAGAGTGTACGAGACGCGCGCACAGCAGAGGGAGAAAGAGAAATTCTGGATCGAGATGAGAATGAACATCGTTGGAGAATGAAAATTTTTTAATTCAAGATTATATCCTTGCCTCTCCCAAATTCGTCGTAGATGCTTGTCTAAGGCGGCTTTCCTTTTAAGAGACACACAGCTGACACAACCACGTCGTTCTATCCTTCTTGACATTCAATGAATGTAAAGATAGAACGACATTTATGTCGACTGCGTCTCCTAAAAGGAAAGCAGTCCTAAAGCATCCGCATCGAGAATTCGCGGATGTGCCGGATTGTGCACGAGACTCTAATCTAATCGTGGGATTTAGGCTTTCGCTTCTATGGGGGTCAAGTTCAGGGGTCGATAGCTCGGCCGGTGGTGGTTCCTGGCGGTGTTAGCCTCGAATAAAAGTGAACGCCGCCGCAGCACGTAAAGTGCAGCAACGACGACGACGACGGCGGCTGATAGCCGGCCGCTACAACGCCGATAGCCGGCAGATCGATGGAGGTGCCTGGTGAACTTGGAAATTTCCCTAGCACACGCGCACTTCCTCTCTCTCTCTCTCTCTCTCTCTCTCTCTCTCTCTCTCTCTTTCTTTCTTTCTCCCTTTCTTGTTCACGCCGCCACGGTGCACGAGGATAACGCACGCTCGAGTAAACGTGAACACGGCGATTAAGAAAACGGGTTATCTTCGACTCACGAAGTGTGTCGCTCGACACGGGATGATTCACCGTCGTCGCCTCGGGGACACTATAGGATGTTCTAGAAAAGGAACGTCCGTCCCTTGAGAAATTCGCGATCGATCTCGATAAACTTCAACGAGAACTTCGGACGGCCGAAAGAGAGAAGACTTCATCGCAATTTCTTTCTCAGCTTATGATTGTCGGTTCACGATCGTGTCTCTATTTTCGATTCCTTTCGAGATCGCGAGGACAAATAAATGGAATCGTTCGAGACGATTGAAGATAATCTCACTGATTAATTTTATCAATTATTCTTCGACACTTCCACTATGCGACACGCAATTTTATCAATCAACTCCAATCTCTTTCGGGAACGACATCCAAGGATAACCAGTACCCTCTCCTCCCCTCCCCACCTCCTCGTCCCCCTTCCTTCCTTTTTTCCGACTTGTTCTCTTATATCGCATGAAAGAGGACGTTTCCCATTGCGTGACCAGAGGTCGTGATACACCGTCGCCAGGATTAATATATACCGTGGAGTTTCCGCGATAACAATTGCCGATTGCGAAATTCCTAATATTATTGCATTAAAGTCAATTTATATCGTATAATAGTGACGCACACGGTATTCCAGTTCGTACTCGTATAATATATGTAAAATTTATTCTACAATTACGTAAGCGTAGTTGTAAAAAGATTCACCAATCACAACCAGTGTACGAGAAGAACATTTAACTGTGATTAGTCAAGTTCTTATAACAATTGTAAACTATAATAATTATGCTTACATAATTGTAGAATAGACTTTACAAACAAACTGAGTTAACATCGCTCCTCCAAGGTAAACTCGGCATTAGTGATATGTCATGTCCTGATATTTTTCTCGATGGAAAAGAAAAAGAGAACGAGTGTCATTGATCCTCGCCCGAAGGAAAGGCAAAAACAGGACTTTATTTCGCGCGACATATCCGCGGTCGTAGACCGGATTTTAATCTCTCCATGTCTTTTTTTCCCGGAACTCGCTATATATAATTACGCCTCTCCGGCGACTCGTGATTGACGTCTCGTACAGGAATCATGAAATTTTAACTGCAAGACTGTTACACGTTACGTCACGTTGCGCTACCATAAGTTTTTCCGCTAATAATATAATCGGGCACTTCGTTGCCTGTTTATTCTGCTTTCTTGTTGATTTTCCCTTAACACATTCCAATTAAAAACGTACATTCATTCGGGGTTTTAATTTCAAAAAATTCGCGTTCCCCATCTAAAGAATTGTTGTTTAAATTATCTCTTGTTTTTTTTTTTTTTTTTTTTTTAATATATGTTACGACCGCATAATAGTGTACTCGTTAAAATGACGGATGTATTACACAGTAATTAGGCAAGTATGCTTTCAGTGTAATTAATCGTAGATAGTCGAGCAGGGTGTAACCCGATTTTCAAGCTGAACGTGCAGGGGAACTCTTGTATAATGCTATCTTCGCAAGCATACGAAATATGATTTGCGATGTAACTAGTGACCCCGATTACCTCGTTTGATTTTCACTCTACGAATTTCTGATCGAAACTGCATAATGGCGTTACATGATATATTATATTACATCAAATACTCAGGCACTTCGTTAAATTGTGAGCGTAAATGAATATTGATAATGTTCTACATCCAAAGAGGGGGACGGAGGAAGAGGGGGGAATATTAATTTTCCCACAATCATAATATAATAATTACCTTCGCATTACGACCGCATTCGTGGTCAGGATGTTATGCAATCTCGAGTGAAGGTAGGGTTTGTTTCTCTCACGGAAGTGATCCTCGCGACTCGGTTTTACTCCGCGGATTTTCCTCCAAGATTTTCTTGGAACTCTTAGTGTCATTGACTTATTATCATTAAGTACTTTCCATTTATAGCAAATTTGATTAAACGCATATTGGTATAGTCAGGCTTGTTACGAAATCGGAAATCAGAGAAAAGTTAGGAAATTTTGCAAAATTTTCTGGAAAATAATTCTTGGCTTTAAAGAAGTTTAATATACATACAAATTTTGGAATACTACTAACTTAACAATTATGTAAGCAATGTCAGTAACAATATTGATAGTAATTAACATTGCTATGTTAAATAAGTTGATCTCTCAACAAACTATTTGTTGAGAGATCAATTTAATATAGTTTCTAAATCAGGATCAGGAAAAATATAAAAATTTTTAAAAACTATTGAAAGCATTAGGAAAAATTATGAAATATGAATTTCAATCCTCTAACATTAAAACCGTCCTATACAAATTACGTGTAATATACAAAAATATAAAGGTATGTATTGTCAATATAGACATCAACCGTAAGATCAATCACTTTATTGTGATATTAGATAAAATAAGTTTTATAATTCAAAATATTTGCATTTCATTCAGATTAAATTAGTGCACAACGACTTTAAAGGAGTCCTAAGTCGTCTATTTTAATCATTTATACATGCCACAAACTTAACTTATGTCGTAAGCTATAAAAAATTGACTATTCACAGTCAAACAAGAGGAGAATAATCGACTTCATTCTGCTCACATTCGACTGTGATTGGTCAATTTGTTATAGCTTACAACAGCTAAGTTAACAGTTTACGGCATATATAAATGATCTTTTACTGACTCAGGATTTAATATAGAACTTACATACAAGTTTACGTGTCATTGTCGTACATATTACTACATCAATATTGCACACACATGTACATATAAATTTTCCAACTAATTTTTCATATTATCTAATTGTAACCTAGTTCTAAGAACTCGATATTGTTTCATGTAACTCCCAGTTCAAATCAAGATTTTATACATACAAGGTAAACCTTCATAGTTTATGTACATAATAAATAAACTAATATAAAGCAAATATTGTTAAAGCCAATGCCCGAAGCCGATAAAACTGTAATTTTTCAACTTTTTTTCGTTTTTCGATATAATATTATCATTTATCGTTAAATCTGTAGACAGAAAAATATTTATTTAAAAAATAATTGATAAAACAGAAACTTGAGAATCCTCTTAATTTGCACCAGTACGCACTAGTGACTCGAATTTTACTAAATCGACACAAACATCATTCTAACTTTCTTGATATTTAAAGGTAAAAACTTGTGTCGACTTGTGTCATCAAATGGAAAGCATCTACTGTCGTTTCTTGTGCTCTCGAATCTCCAATATAATTAATACGGTCAAGTTATAATCATTACAGTCGCTGATCATCGGTTCTTATCGCGCCGGTGGGATTCTTCGCATCTCTCTTTTCGTTTTCTGACATGCTAAAAATACACTGCGGAAGAGAATTCTATCTCGTCTTTTCTAAGATATAATACGCAGGTGCCGTCACGTCGTCTCATGGGAGGCTCGCGAAAACTTTCTCGCGCAATGATGCGTCGATGGATGCAAATTGCTAGCGTAACGAGATACGCGATCACGTTGAATATTAGGTAATGA